CCCCAAAACCCCAAAACCCCAAAACCCCAAAACCCCAAAACCCCAAAACCCCAAAACCCCAAAACCCCTATTATTACTTAAGAAATTGAATTATGAGAAGACCAGAAATCATTATATCATAGATTTTAGCTCTTGGAGAGCTGAGACAAACATCTGTTTCTCTTCCTCAACATCTGCCTTGTAGGTATACCCTACAAATTCAAGGTCTTTCTTCCTCCGCTTCATTTTCTGTTTAGAGTATCTGCTTTGGGAGGAGGAGAAGAATGGTTCCTCTTCCTTAAATTTATCGAAGTTCTCTGCACTTGTTGGGGAACTTACTTCTGGAATAAATGGAGCATCTTGGCTTTTCAATCCTTCCCAGTTGGTATCACTAAACCATGGATGTTCTTTGATCTCAGTAGCTCCATTCTTTCCGAGTCTATCTTCAGTATCACAGATCAGTCTAAGAATCAGATCAGTAGCTTCCTCAGATAGATTGGCTTCTGTTGGGATTACTAGTGTCTTCTTCCAATGAAGGATCTTCTGGCAAGTAACTGTAGAATCATCTGCGAAAAATGGAGGATATCCAACAAGCATCTCAAAAAGTATTACTCCAACTGACCACCAGTCAACAGTTTCATCATAACCTTTAGGTCCGAATACCTCAGGTGCAATGTAGTCTGGGGTTCCAACAGTTGAGTAAGCCAGCTTCCGATCTCTTTTGTAACCGCCAAGTCTCTTGCTTAACATATTCTTCAAAGCATTGAAGTTGTCTGAATGCTTCATCGCATACTTGTCTGGTTGTTTACGCTGAGTGGCTTTGATCTCAGCATGTTTACAAAGTCCAAAATCAGTCAGCTTAATATGGCCATCTTCACCCAACAAAACATTGTCAGGCTTGAGGTCTCTGTGAATATAGTTGAGATTATGAACAGACTCGATAGCAAGAATCATTTCAGCAGTATAAAACCTAGACTCTTCTTCGGTCAATATATCTCTTTTAATAAGCAAGTTCATCAGGTCGCCACCAGGAAGATACTCCATTACTAAATACAAATTCTCATCATCTTGGAATGAATACTTCAGGTTGACAATCCAAGGATTCTTAGCTTTTACTAAAATGTCTCTTTCAGATCTAACGTGAGTGACCTGGTTCTTAACAAGCATTTCTTTCTTCTTCATCTTCTTTACAGCAACTACATCTCCACTGTCAATGTGCTTACAGATTCTGACTTCTCCGAAAGCTCCTTTTCCAATAATCGACAAGGGTTCAAAATCTGATGGATAGACCTTCTTTCTGGCTTTTCTGTTCAGTTCAGCTTCACGATGAAGAACGTCTTGCTTAATAAGTTCTTTCTCATGAGGAGTAAGGTTTAACACATCCATTTGATGATTGAGTAAGTCCCAGCCTTCCTTTCTCTCTTGTTCTTCAGTTTTCAGTTTAGCGAACTTGTTCTCAATATATTTCTTAACCTGTTCTGCTTTCTCCTTGGTTTTCTCACTAATAGCCACTAAACCAGAGTTAGTAATTTATGATACTAGGGCAAAATTAGCATTTTAAAGACACCAAAACCTTCTAAAAAGTCTATTTGAGCTCAAAGCTTTCAAAATGGTATGTATAGATAGTTCTAGGGAATAAATCTGGTTTTCATTTTGTTGATTGAGGGTAATTAGGTCCAAAAGACTGGAAATATACCATTTGATAATTAGGAAGAAATATACGAATTATAAGGGATAAAAGAGAAAATATAGTCAGTATAGCCTTACCTTCCTTCTTCTTCCTCTGTGTCTTAGTCCTGTCCATTTTTAAAAATAATGTTTTTAAAATTTGAATATTTTCGGGGTTTTGGGGTTTTGGGGTTTTGGGGTTTTGGGGTTTTGGGG